CACCAATTTTGTTGTACTTCCAAGTGTGTTTCGGGAGTACCTTAAAAATCAAACGTTGTGCCCAGAGATATTTAACATAATAAAAGAAAAGCAAATGAAATTTCTGTAAAATAAATACAAAGGAAAAGTGTAAAATTATTTGCTTGTTTTTCTTAGCTATTCTTAATCCTGTGATGGTAAAGACTTACCACCACCACCACCACCCCAACAGCCCACTGTATTTTTGTTTGTCTGAATGCAGGAGTCCAGCCTATACCTTCTCAGGGAGGAAAATTAGAAATAGCTGGCACTGTGGTTGGCCACTGGGCTGGGAGCAGACGTGGCCGGGGAAGCCGAGGGCCTTTCCCCCTACAGGTAGTTTCTGTTGGAGGACCAGCAAGAGGGTAAGTTCTGAGAAATTTGAATATATTTTGTATTTGAGACTTTGGAATTACATTTTAATATTATTTTAAATGCCTATAAAGCATTTATGTATATTTATATTTGCCCTTTTTTTAAATTAATTTAGACGTCCTAGAGGAGTTATTTCTACCCCCGTGATTAGAACATTTGGAAGAGGTGGAAGATACTATGGGAGAGGTTACAAAAACCAGGGAACAATTCAGGTAATAGTACAACATACTGTTTGTGCCAGTTCTCCCTGATAGTCTTTCTGAACTAGTACTTCCAGAACATAGGCTCAGACAAAGGAGATTTGATCAATTTCTATAGTGGTCAAGCGTCTGGCAATATTAACTGATACATAAGTGTTCAAAAGGTGTCAGTTTCCTAGACAAAATATCCCCATGTCTTTTCTAATTTATCAGTTGGATGTATATGGATCAATAGTAGAAGCAAATCTTGTCTTGGAAGAAATAGAGCCAGAATGCTCCTTAGAGGCAAGGATGGTAAGACTTTATCCCATGCACTTTGGACATGTTATCAGGAGACAACAGTCCATCGATAAGGACATCATGCTTGGTACAGGGGAGGGAAAAAGAGGAAGTCCCTCAACAAGATGGAATGACACAGTGGCTGAACAGTGGGGTCTAAAATAAGAAAATTGTGAGGAGGATGTTGGACCGGCAGTTTCCCCTTCTATTGTTCATAGAGGGACTATAAGTTGGAACTGACTCATGTCCAAGTGTTCAATACTTAACTTCAAAACAAAGATTTTTTTTTGTTACTTTTTACCTGCACCAAACCTGGAATTATCCATTCTCCATAAAACCTTGGTTTCTTTTTAGTAGGAAATGTGATGCCAAGACCACAGTCTAAAACCTGATAGACTTCTTTTGCCAAGAGTGGTCTGTGTTTCTGTTATTCTTCTCTGGACGGAACTGGGGACAGGAGAAAATATATGTATATATACATTCATACATACCCACGTATACACCAAAATCTGTTTACTCATACATAAAATATTCACATGAACATAGTTTTTATTTTTTAAGATAAAATACAATGTACTCATATTGATGCTTCATTTAAATCGAAGGTCTACAGAGCTTTTTATTTAACCTCTTCTATATTACATCTATATGTCCTTTCATATAAAATCATCTTTTCTGTGGACAGAACTAAGAAAGGAAAGCACATCTGTGGGTGGGGGTATACAAACAATATACACACACGTACACACGCACAGTTGCATAGTACATCATGAGTTTGTGCTGATGCTTCCTATTCAAATATAGGACTACAGGATTATTACTTGACCACTATTTGTTGTTCCTCCATTTTGATAATCTTGGAACCCAAGGAATGACTAAGTTAGAATTTTATAAAACCATTGGTCCCACAATTAGACCAATAGATAGTATTATTATAAATGGATAACAGCTTGAAGTTGTCAAGGATTTCATCTTGATTGGATCCATAACCGGTAGTGCTCATGAAGCAGTGGTCAGGAAATCAATAATGGATTGCATTGGGCAAATCTACTGCGCCAAATCTCTGAAAAAATGGAAAAGAATGCCAGTTTTAGGACTGAGGTGTACTTGACCCAATCCATGGGATTTTCAATTGTATGCATGTGAAAGTTAGATATTGAATAGAAGACCAGAGAAGAATCAGTGCATTTGAATTATGGTGCTGTTGAATATTTAAAATACCATTGATTGCCATAAGAACAAATCTACCTTGGAAGGAAATATAAGCAGACGGCTCTTTCCAAGAGAGAGTGGTGAGACTTCGTCTCGTGTACATTGGACATGTTGAGAGACGCGTCCCAGTGGTGCACGGACATCCTCCTTGACTGCAACGACAGGCTCCAACCTGAAAGCAACTGAGGACGGCGCTGGTCTGGGCAGGGCTGCTATGAGTGGGAACTGACATAGCAGCACCTCACATTGCTAACAGTTAACACAGTAAACAAACTCCTAACACAGCAAGCTCAAAATAAATGCTTTTACTCCCATTACTGATAAATTGCTGAAAAGAGTTAAGAGAAAGTTCTTACATATTCTTTATTAACTCCATATCTACAAAATCACCTACTTGTTAAAAATAATATTGGTACTTCCATGGTAACCTGTAAACATGAGTACTCAGAAAACAGTGAAAAATTCTCTGCTGACGTCCAAGAAAACAGTGTTCACAAAGACTTTTAGAAGCCGTAACTCCTGTGACTAACAAATGACTGTACAGTCCTTGCCTTCATTATCTGGTCGCTTAGCCATGCCGCGCTAGACTCCCTTCTGACTTCATTGAGTCTTAGTTTTACACATAACTAGATTGATGCTCATCTCCCACGTGGTACATTGTATCTGATTCTATTCCTCGGGAAGGGCTATAGTTCACTTACCTTATGGTTGAAAGCATTGGCCTCCACTTTTATTTCAATATTTTAGATAATATTATTTACTTCATTTCCTTCTGGCATAAAACATTACTATCAAAAAATTGATGATCTAAATTTTCCTCCCTCTGTGGAGTCACTTGTCTTTTGTTTTTCCTTAAGAGTTTATTTGCTAGATTAAAGTTTGGCATTAGATGTTCTGGACTGTATCATAATGGGTTATATATACATGGGGCTGCAAGCTACAAGGTCAGCAGTTTAAACCCATTACCAACTGTTCTGCAGGGAAAAGAATGAGGCTACCTCCTTAAAGACTTACAGCCTTACAAGTTCTAGTCTCCTTTTAGGGTTGCTGTGAATTAGAATCAACTAATTAATTGGCAATGAGTTTGGTTTACTATGTCTTTAATATTTGTCATACTCTTGTTCCTTTTTATTTCTTTATTTCTATTTTTGAAATATAACTCACTATAAAATTCACCTGTTCTAAACGAGTATACCATGTGTTGTTTTTTTCACATTATTAACAAGGCTGTGCAACCATTATTACTAGTTTCAGAATTACTCTCAAAAGAAATTTTATGCCCATTTAGTAATCAGTCTCCATAATTCTCCCCTACATCAACTGTGCTTCCAGGCAATTACTGATTGACTTTCTGGCTGAATTTCCCTAATCTGTATGTTCTGAATAAATGGAATCTTAACAAAACGTGGTCTGTTGTGACTGGCTCTTTTTTCACAGAGCAGTATTCTAAGTTCATTGATGTTCTAGCATATAACAGCACTTCATTCTTTCTTTTATGGCTGAAGAGTATTCCGTGGTTTGTAGGTACTCTTGATTAAATTACCAATTGGTGGACATCTTCATTGTGTGCACCTTTTAACTATTATGAATATAGACTATGGGCATTCTTGTACAGATTTTTATGTAAGCAGATGCTTTAATTAATTTATTTTTTTGAGTTCATGTCTAGGAGTGGAACTGCTGAGGAAATGTCTGACTATTTACTACAGTAGCTGACGGTTTGAAATGTGTGAGGATGCCAGTATCTACATGACTTGTCAACACGTGTTATTTTCCGTCTTGTCGTTTTAGCTATCTTCTTGAATGGGACATGATATCTCATTTTGGGTTTTAATGTGTATTTACCTATCTTTGTTTCTTTCTGATTTTTAATTTTTTTAAAAAATAATCATTTCATTAGGTGCTCATACAACTCATCACAATCTGTACATACGTCATCTGTGTCCAGCACTTTAGTACATATGTTGACTTCATCATTCTTACAACACCCACTTTCCACTTGAGCCCCTGGTGTCAGCTCATTTTTTCCTCTCCCTCCCCGCTCCCCCTGAGCCCCTGATAATTTATAATATCTTACCCCATCCCACGTTTCCCTCACCCACTTCCCCGCTGTCCATCCCCCAGGGAGGAGGCCACATGTAGACCTTGTCCTCTGTTCCCCCTTTCTCCCTCTCCTTCCCTCCACCCTCCCGCCATCGCCATTTTCTCCACTGGTCCTGGGGGGTTCGTCTGTCCTGGGTTCACTGTATTTCCAGTTCCTATCTGTGCCAGTGCACCTCCTCCAGTCCAGCCGGATATGTAAGGTAGAATTGGGATCATGGTAGTGGGGTGGAGGAAGCATTTAAGAATCAGAGGAAAATTGCATATTTCATCGTTACTACACTGCATTCCGATTTGCTCCTCACCTCCCCGCAACCCTTCTTCAAGGGGATGTCCAATTTCCCCTGGATGGGCCCTGGTTCCCCACTCTGCACTCCCCCTCATTCACAATGTTATGTTTTTTTTTTTTTTTTTTGTCTTTGATGCCTGATATCTGACCCTTTGGCCACTGTGTCATCTTACAGGCTGGTGTGCTTCTTCCATGTGGGCTTTGTTGTTTCTCAGATGGCCCCTTGTTTATCTTCCAGCATGTGGGACCCCAGATTCTGTGTAATTTGACAGCTGGGCACCATCAGCTTTCTTCACCGCATTTGCTTATGTACCCTCTTTGTCTTCAGCATTCGTGTTGGGGTAGGCTGGTGTGCTTCTTCCTTGTGGGTTTTGTTGTATCTAACTGATTTTTAAATTTTTCTTTATTTTCACCTTCATCAAGACGTACAGTACTTATTTAGTCTTGTGCTCTTTCTACATCTATTGAAAGATTCTCTTTATTTTAAATTCTTAAGTTCTTTTATCTCATTGTTTGATTCATGGTGTTCTTTTATGTCATATCATTTTGTGTTACTTGCATTGGATATTCTATTGTTAAACGAGTTTACTCTAAATGGGCATTAGAGTTCCCCAATTTTAGTTATCTTTATTCTAGAATGAGAATTTTTTGTCTATGTCCTTTGTGGACATAAACACTTATTTCTAGATGGGCATACACTCAGAAGTGGAATAATCGGTTCATAGACAATGTGCACATTGTCTTTAGAAGATATTGCCAAATCTTTTCCAAAAGGGTTGTACCAGTTTATGTTTTCACATGCAGTATAAGAGAGTCCTTTGTCAGTTATATATATTGAAAGTATATATTCTTTTAATCTGTAGCTTGCCATTTCACTCTTAATAATAGTGAAGCTCAGTTTATTGGTCTTTTATTCAATATTTTGTATCTTTTGGTCACAAAGATATTTACTTATTTTTTTAAAATAAAATTGCTTATGTCTGTGGACCATGACAATTTAATTTTGAGGTATAGTGTATAAATATAACTTGTAGGTATACTTGAATGCCCCAAAATTAATGTGACTAACTTTGTTTGATACTCATTTTATTGTGGTAGTCTGGACCTGAACCAGCAATCTCCCAACTTGCCTGTAGAAAGTTTTGGCTTCTGGTGTATAAGCCCCTCAGCTTTGCTCTTCAGTATTGTTTTCCTCTTCCAGTTGCTTTGTTCTTCCATATGCATTTTAGAAACACTTTGTCAAAATATCCTCTCTCTTTTTTCTAGGTTGTCTCCTCATCCAATCACTTCATTACAGTATTTCTCACTTTCACCCTTTTCTCTCCCTTTCTTCTTCTTCTTCTTCTTTTTTATTTATTTTATGAAATACTTCTATTGGGGGCTCTTACATCTCCCATCACAATCTATATATTCATCCATTGTACCACCATCGTTTTCAAAGCATTTTCTTTGTATTTGAGCCCTTAATATCGTCTTTCCTTTTCTAACACTCCCACTCTGTTAGGTCAATATTAGTTTGTGTTTTATTATTTTACTGGCCTGGCTACTTCCTTTTTTCTATTCTCTTCTGGCTTTGCCCAATTGAATTCATCTTGTATGTCACGGCTGTACAATTGCCATGTGTCATTGACCTCTCTAATCAAGAAGCATAGTTTAGAAACCCTAAACTCCTGAACTTTATAGATAATATTTATAAGCAAGTTCACTAGGCTCACCTTCTTTAAACAACAATTTTTGCTAGGTAATTTTAATGCAGCCAATAGAAGCTGATGTGTGGATAATGCTACTCTAGACTTACTAGATATAAGATTTAACACTTGCATATGTAACAAGCTTTATCTATTATCTTTCTATTTTTCAAATAAACTAGTGAAGTCAAACTTACTACCATTTTTAGAACTGGGTGAATTTAGACCCGTGTAAGTAACTGACCCAAGGAAACATTCACACGTTATGTGTCTCTAGTTCCAAAGCTTTCTCGTTTTGCACTCACTCACTATTCCTACTTCACTGTCTTTGATACCATACATTACCTGGCATACTGGCTGAAATCTGATCAACTTGGTAACTCAAGTACAGTTAAAGTAATAGAGTAGAAGGAATAGTGCATACAGTGCTTGCTTGCCTATAATGGGTATGGTAAGAACTGCCTCACCAGGTTGAAAAAAGAAAAAGGTAGGATAGTGAGAGGGAATGTTTGTTTCCTAATAGTTAAAGCTGCTGTTCTTATTCACATTGTATCCCTTGTAGGTGAGTTGGTTGGCCAGCACATCTTTTTACATATCTTATCCAGGAATCAACAGTAGAGGAAGGTTCCCCTCTTTCAACCACTCGCTGGTAAACAGACCCTCTTTTTTGGCTCTGGCAAGAAGGACTCCTGCAAATGACTATTACTAAAGATACTCATTTAGTCTTACAAATGAGCATGTATGTTTGATTTCCCGGAGAGTGAGACCTTTGAAGTTCAAATGGGTATAGGTTAAGTCTTTGACTATTTTTCTCCCTGGCTATATTTTTATATTAATTATTTTTCGGTAAGGTTCCATAACATTGATTTCCCGAGAATTGCATTCTGGAGATGTGTACTTTTGTATTTCTCAATTCTAGAGCTGGGAAGCAGAAAAATGATATTATAGAGTGGCTGGGATTGATAACATGCTTGAACGTCTAGTATCGCTAAGGTGACACCATCAAGGCACACTCCAAAATCCAGCAGGAAATGACCATTATTTTCAGTAAAAATGATATCTTAATTTTCCCAATAAAGACTAGCTGATGCTAAAAGGTACCACCGTATTATATTGAAAAGAGGATGTGGCAAAGAGGTAGACAGTCAATATAACCAGCTATCTATTTTTCCTCATCCAAAAAATGAATTTGAAGGCAAAAGTCATTCAAGGTTTTATTTATTTTTTTATTTCACTTTTCACTTAAGTCTGTCTATACCAGTGGTTCTCAATTATGGAGATTCCCTGGCATTGTTGGTCATAGCATCTTGTGGAGGTGGGTGCTACTTGCGTCTAGTGCATGGAGGCTAGGGAAATTGCTAAATGTATTAAAATGCATACAACTGTTCCCATAGCAAAGAATTTTCAGGTACAAAAATACCAATAGTGCTGAGGTAAAGAAAACCTGGCCTACTATAAAAGAAACTGAAAGATCTAACGTTATCATCTTGGTCCTCATAGAGAGAGGCTTATCTTTGAGGAAATACAAGAAGGCGCCAACAAGTTTTTAAGAAAATTCCATTATCTTTTTTTCTCCAAAATTTTTTCCATGAAGTTTTTAAAACCCTCTCATAAGCTGAATCAGCCTCAAAACATGTTTTCCAGAGAATTTTTTCCCTCTCAAGCTCTTAAAGGGCTAGTGGAAGGACTCTTTCAGAAGAGAGATTTCGTAAACATGAGTGGCAATTATTAGTGCAGTCTTGTTGATCATTGAGGTTGCCCATGGGTCACTTGGTTCTGTTTTACTTCTCACTCCTTGGTTAAAATATGGGGGTGTCTGCTGCTGCATGTCATAAACGGTGTTCCCTTTTGGGGGATAGGACCAAGCAGAACATTTGAGGCAGACTTAATGAGGAGCATTTGTTATTTTTAATAGTTTCGTACCATATAAGAAGATTAGATAGAGCTCCATACATTTAAGCATCCCAGGACTTTGTTTGCACGTTAAGGACACTAACTGCCAGTAAGTTTACAGAGATGACAGTAGTAGGGAACTAACTGAATCTGTAGCAGCGTCTATCAATTATGATTAATCAGAGGCAAAGACAACTTGCAAACCGAACCCTGTGCCTGTACAAATATGCATATTTTCTCTTGAATTTAAAAAAAAAAAGTAAAATTAGGCCAGACTAATGTTCTGTCTCCTAACAATCAACAAAAATTGCATTCATTATCTTTTATTTCCTTTTATCTTACACAGGGTAAACCTCCTTATGCTGCTTCAGCAGAAGAAGTGGCCAAAGAATTTAAGTCAAAATCAGTGGAGTTGAAGTCTCCTGCTGTGTCTTCAGATGGGTCCCTGGCTGAAAATGGAGTGATGACTGAGGAGAAGCTGGCGTCCCAGATGAATGGGAGCGCAGGAGGTGTCAGGGCTTGCACCCAGTCTGAAAGTGCCTTGAATAATGACTCTAAAATGTGCAATACAAATCCTCCCTTAAATGCACTAAATACAGACAGCGTCTGCCATAAAGGTGATACTCTTGAGGCAGCTGTCTTAAATAAAGAAGAGTAAACTTATTTTTTATAGAGGGTGAAGGATATTGGAAGGGGTAAGGATTTAGAAATATCTGGAAAGAAAGCCTACAGTTATGTACATTTTTTCCTTTCCGTAAGAGAAAAATGAGGACTTTGGAAATTCGGATCCCTCTTTGATATCAGAGATTTAAACAATAAATTTTTAGTTTTAACCAGTTGTAGTCAAAATGCTACAATAAAACAAAAAAGAAAGAAAGAAAATGAAGAGCATTTGACTCCCGCACTTAAAATGAAGTACACATAAAGTTTAAACTGGTTATGACAAAAGCCTCTAGTGGTGTTTCTTGAACTATAAAGAAAAAACATTTTTTTGGCAGTCTTTTAAGTATATATAGCTTAAACTCTAATTTTTAGCATTTGGCACCATATGTATGCCATTATATTTGATTTTGCATTACTGTTTCACAATAAAGCTTTGTTTAAGGCTTTGATTTTATGATTATGGAAAAAATAAGGCACAGCCACAGTTTTTCTTTCTTTCTTAAATTTCATCACTGTTGATGTGGTTCTTTTGTGTTAAAAAAAGTGCAACTATCAAAACTAAAAGATAATACAGTAATATTGCCGTTCTGCTGATTTTAAATATACAGTACATCATACATACTTTACAAGCAAGTTAAATGGAGATAAAGTTGAAATCAGAAGATGCAAATGACCTTTCAAAATCAACACAATGTGTTCTGAAACTTTTTGTGACTAAATACCATGCATCTGTGATCAATGAACTATGTGGTTTTGAATCGGATGTAGACCATTAGTACTACTACTTGAGCTAAACTTCTGCATGGTTCATAATTTTAAAAGTGTGTAGTTAATATTATGCATGTTATTGTCCTTTCTTCCATTCTTACAAATATGTGCCCATTTGCAAAACAAAAAGCTAATAATCAGTAATAGTCCTATACAAGATGTTAACTATGTTTAGTCATTGACTGATCTTGCTCTAACCTTACAATTTTGTGATTATTGACCTCTGTTGCATTTATTCTAAAAAACCCCAAAAATTATCTAGCCGTTTTGAATATCAACATTACCCTGGTGTATTCACTGCTGTATGCATTATTGTTCTTTGTTGCTGTTTTATGCCTTCATATTAGCAAAATATGAAATTCTGTGAAGGAAAAAAAAAACTTTGGTCTTTAAACACCCCTCCCCCTCTTCTGTAGCAAGAAACAAATTGCTTGTTCTTGAGAACTTTCCCATCAAGAATTTAGTAGAAGCAAGTATACTTATATCATTTTGATGTTTTTGTTAATGTTTCCAAACAATGTACTTTGAAATCAGAATCACTTATTTGTTTTCATATAATTATCCTGATGCTCTTCATCACACATTAGTGATCAGAAATGAGGTGTAATTCCCCAATCCCTACCCGCAAGAGCTAAATAGGAATTTACTGTAAGTTGAAGGGAGTTTTGCCCTAACTCATGGATTGTGCAAGAATGAACTGCTGTTGGGTTTGATTGATTGTAGATGGATTGTGGTGTGGTGTATTTGAAGGCTATTGAATGCAACTTACAATGCTTAATAAAAATCTTTATTCTTTTAGTATAAGGTATAGTGTGGCTTTTAAGTTCACTTATAAAAATATACATTTCACTGAGCATTAATACAAATTTTAATGGCTAATTAAAAGCGTGGCCAGATAATAAAAATTTATAAATATTTTGCCTCTTTAAAGTGACTTTAGGTTTTCTAGAATTAAAGAAATATTAATACATCATTAATATGAAAATTATGCTGACACTTATTTTTGAATTTTATAGTTAATTTTAATAAAACCATAGGGATAGAAAGGAAGTACATTCTCCTATAAAAGAGGATTCTTGTGGAAATAGTTGTATGTCTTAACCTTGTGGGTAGAAATAAATTTGATTCTAGTTAAATCTTATTTTGAAAGTGAGTGTTACATATGTAGCCTGTTTTTCAAGCATTAATTTTGGCTTACATTTAGTTTCTGAAACTAGTATGAAATATGATGTTATTTTTGTGTCCCAATCTGTTACCTTGATTTGTAGGTTCCCTTGTTGATGGAAATTGAAGGCTATGTGCATGACTGTGAATGGGGCCTTGTGGACAAAGACCACCCCAGGGAAATCAGGCTGAGCTCATCTGTTCAAAAATCATCTAAATTTCAGAACAGTGGAGGCACAGTCCGTTCATTATTTACTTGTATGGAGTCAGACTTGAGCAGTAAAGGAGAGCGTGTGAGGAGGAGGTGGAGTTGTTACCAGGTGACATCGAGTTAGTTCCAACCCATAAGCGGCCCTAGGCACAACAGAATGAAACACACCCTAGTCCTGTGCCATCTTTACATTGTTCCCATACCTGAGCATATTGTTGCAGTTATAGTGTTGGTCCATCTTTTCCAAGACTTCCTCTTTTCCAGTCCTCTTCCATCTTACCAAAAATGATGTTCATCTCCAAGGACTGATCTTTCCTGACAAGATGTCCATAGTATGTATGATGAAGTCTTGCCATTCATGCCTCTCAGGAGCACTCTGACCTTAACTGCTTCCAATTCAGATTTGTCCTTTTGGCAGTCCGTGGTACTTTCAATATTCTCCTCAAGCCTGGGCATCACCAGAAGTGAAAGATCAAAGGATGTTTTTGTTGTCTCAACAATAATTAGGAAGGAATCAGGAATGATTACTGACCTGCCAAAGCAAGTTTGGCTTGAGTGGTCACATTTTTTTTTTTT